CACTGATGACTTCAGCATTGCCAAAGCCAATGGTCATTGCTCAGCAAATCTTAGTGAACCTATCAGCAGTTTTCATTTAGTAGTTGATTACTGCCACCTCCTTGAAAGCTTTTCTTCAAATGACCTCTGGGACACCAGCCTCTTGGTTCTGCTCCTCCCTACCCAGCTGTTCCTTCTTGAGCTCCTTTGTCATCCTCTAAATGTCACAGGCTCAGTCCCAAAATCTCTTCTCATCTCTATGTACTCTCACTCCCTGGGTGATCTCATTCAGCCTACTGGCCTCAGATACCATCTCCATGTTGACAACTCCAAAATTTAATTCTGTAGCCCAGACATCACCCCTAAACTCCAGGGTTACAAATCCACATGTCACCTTCACTTGGATGTCTTGTGACATCTCAAATGTGATGCGTCCACAGCTAAGTTCCTGTTGTCCTCACTTAAATCCACCACTTTTCTTCCATCCTCCGTCTTCTTTTATACTCCACATGCAATTTATCAGTGATGCTGTAGGCTCCACTTTCAAATTACATCCAGAATGTAACCTTTTGTTTTGTTTTGTTCGTTTTTGTGGTTTTTTACCACCTTTACCACTTGCATCCTTGTCTGAGCCAGCATCATCTCTTGCGTGAACTGCTGAAATGGCTTCATGTTTCTGTCTTTGTGCTATTCTCCTCTCCTCTCCCAAGAAGATAGAGCCTTTTAGAAGATTACTCATATTATATCACTCCCTTGATGAATCCCTCAGTGGCTTCCTACTTCACTCAGAATAAAACCCTAAATCGTTATTCTCACCTACAAGAGCCTGTAAGTTCCAGCCCCCCATTTCTCTCTCTGACCATCTCTTCTAACTTTCTCTCCATTACAGTTGGAGAGAAACTGTATCCTTCTCCAGCCACACCAGCCTCCTTGCTCTCCCCGGACACACCAACTTGCTCTCATCACAGGGCCTTTGCACTTCCCAGCAAGCCCTGTCCCTCCTTCAAAACACTGTAGGTATAAACACATCAGACAAAAGGAGCTGTTACCAGGGTGTGTCTCCAGTGCATCTTTAAAAGCTATTATTTTCTCCTCTGGAGCACCTGGGTGGCTCAGTCGGTTAAGCGTCTGACTTCAGCTCAGGTCATGATCTCAAGGTTCATGATTTCGACACCTGCATTGGGCTCTGTGCTGACAGCTCAGAGCCTGGAGCCTGCCTCAGATTTTATGTCTCCCTCTCTCTCTGACCCTCCCCTGCTCACACTGTCTCTCTCTCTCTCTCTCTCTCTCTCTCTCTCAGAAATAAATAAAACATTTAAAAAATGTTTAAAACGCGATTATTTTTCCTTGATGCTTTTTAAAACTTTTCCAAATATTTTCAATGAATGTTATGTATCTATTTCATAATCAGAAAATAAATGTGATATAAATTGAAGTCAAGATCACCAAGGACAGTGCTATTGCTTAAATACAGTGTAAAAAGGCTGCCTTGTCCCCAGTGCAGGCTCCTCATGCAGCTCAGAGAGTATGTCCACAGACAGGCCTAACAAAGCCCCTGGTCCCCTGTGGATCTGGTCCTCCCCATCCTCTTTGCCTCTTCCACAGCTCCCCCAGCTAATGAGCTTCATACTAGGATGGTGATAACTGATCTCTGGGTACAGATTCTGACTCACCAGATTAAACTGCAATGAAATGCTTTTTAATAAGTAATCTGTGCTAAGTAAATTGTTATTTTCCCCTCGTGAGTGGCATTTCCTGTCATTCTAAAAATTAATCTTATTTAAGAGATGCTTAAAATATGGGGTAATATCATGGTTCTTCAGACCAAGCAGTAAATGAGTAATTTAATCTGTTTGAATTACAAATCTTGATTCTTTTAATGCTATTTTCCTTGAGATCTATTCCTCTCTCTTCTGTGGCTACTGGGATGGACATTCTGATTTTACAGAGTTCTCTGTGTAAAGTAGAGAAAATACTTTTAGCCCACCTGAACTTAATATAAACCACAAAAAATCCTTTAAATATAGTAAATGATAAAGGTCAGGACAGCATGATTGAGGAATCTTCCTAAGGTTCGGTAGGTAAGTGTCAAGAGCATACAAAATAAATGACCTCAACTTTGTCCGGAAGAAGAATGACTAGGTGTACCAGGCATCGTAGCATTGCTGGAAGTACTAGTTTCACCCTCATTTTTAAACTTCAGACGTTCCCTGGAAGGTAAGTGGACAAAGGCTTGTGGTGTGAGGTGAGAGACAGATGGGGAAATTTATCATGGATTTTATTATGTGTTTCAAACCTTTTGTGTATGTCTTTGAGGCCCTTGAGAAATATTACATTGAAATCTGCCTTTAAATATCAGTCATCTTTATACTGCTCTGCAGTCTCTTCTCTTCCTCGGAGAGATCTCTGGAGTGGAACAGACTTCCTAGCCTTTGTTCAGCTCCAGGTTCTGTCCTGTGTTTGCACCTGTGGCTGTCAGTATGTTGCCCCATCCAAGGCCTGAGAGTCTGTGACATAAAGAAGGCAAAGCTTTTGCCGGAGTGAGCCTAACTCAGCTTGTCTTGTGTGTAGAAATGAGATAGAATGTATATCATAGGACTAGCCCTATGGTTTAAAGAATTCAATGAAATGTCATCAAAACTGACTGATTCTGCTTAAGATAAACATCAAATTTGAATTGTCTCCTTTTCTATGGAGAGATTGACCTCTCCACCCCTGTAGGTAGCTCAGGACCTCTAGTTCTCTTCAAAATTGGTCAGTGCCCCCACCTCCACTACCACGATGCCTACCACCTACACTGCAATGGCCTGTCACCAGCCCAGGAACAAGTCTGTCTTGTGCATTCTTGTAATTCACAGCCCAGTACAGAGCCTGGCATATGAAAATACTCAATAAATATTTGTTGAATAAATGGGTAGATGACTCAACAGATTAAAATGCTTCCTTCCAGGCCACCAGCAGCCCCATATGGTGTTCATACACAAGCTGCTTGGAGGAGGAGGCCAGGGACTGCTGAATTGCTCACCCTGGCTCCCCATCACCCCAGGCTTGGTCTCCACATTTGCACTGATCAGAAAGCACTGATGCTATCACTGCTGCCCAGGCCCTGGAACTTTTGCGTTGTAGTTCTTGATGAAATGGAAACAAAAGCAAAGGCTTCGCCTGGGTGGCTTAGTCGGTTAAGCATCCGACTTTCGCTTAGGTCATGATCTCACGGCTCGTGGGTTCGAGCCCCGCGTCAGGCTCTGTGCTGACTGCCAGCTCAGAGCGTGGAGCCTGTTTCAGTCTGTGACTCCCTCTCTCTCTGACCCTCCCCTGCTCACGCTATTTCTCTCTCTCCTAGAAATAAATAAAAATATTAAAAAAAAAAAAAAGCAAAGGCTTCATAATTATATAGGCAATAGGTTGACTGAGGACTCAAAACCTACGAGACATGTACCCCAGTGCTGCCACTGAAGTCTTCCCAGTTGTTCCTTTTGATCCACACAGGGGACTGCATGAGGATGGGGCGTCCCTCAGCTGGTATGAGAGCTGCCCAGAAAGCTTCATATCCTACTTTTTCTTCCTTGACCCCATTCACAGCTGAGCTCTACTATCATCGTGTGTTCCTGAATTTTTGTTGCATCCTAGACACTGATGCTTCTCCTCTGGTATTCATTTAGCAACCAAGGTTGCCCTTGGAACATGACGTAAATATGATGAATATCCCAGCCCTTATTGCGTCAGCGTAGCGGTATGTGCAGACTGCTCATTTCAGCAATGCTCTTTACTCCTGCCTGGGCCCCTCAGGCACTTGGTCATGACTTGTGGTTGCGCACGGATTACTTTGTCAGCCAAATGCTCTTAGGTTGGATTCTCTATGTTTATAATTAAAAGCCATTACAGGTTTTCATTTAGTTCTAAGTAGGAAACACTTTCACTACTTCTATGCAAAACAACAACCTAGCAATAGTATCAATAATAGTACCCAGTACTATCTAACACTTGCACTGTTCTAAGGGCTTTACATATTAACTCATTTACTTCCCATAACAATCCCAAGTGATGGGTATTACTATAATCATGTCTGTTTACAAATGAACAAACTGAGGCACAAAGAGGCAAATAAGTTGCTGAACACAGGTAGTAAGAGACACAAAGACTTTACTGAAGGCACCTACCATACCTCTCTCCAAACTTGACTGAAAGCTACTCTTCTTCAAAAGGGAAAGTCCTAGAAAGAAGCTCTAGGCTCCAAGTATGCAGAAGAAAGCCAAATTCCACCAGTGTCCCCCACTAATAAGTACAGAACCAAGCAATACACTCCCAAACAAATAACTATGGAGCATCCACAAGAGACCTCTGTGGCAGTGGTGTTTCCAACAAGCCAAAGCCAACTCCTTTAGGAAACTTCCTATTGCAGACATTCCACACTAGACACAAGGCTGGGTTTCAAGCATGTCCACGTACATAAGTTTGATTTCCTTCTTCTGATGCTGCCATGACTGTGCATAAAACCAGGTATATATAAGGGTCAACCTGCCTTTATGCTGGACTTTGATCTTCAGTTCATTTAGACAATTTGATAAACTTGTCAAGTCTCACAGCCTCATGTTTGCATTCTGGGACCCATCCTATCATCTCCCTGTAAGTGATCAATGGTTTATATTTTCCTTTGTTGCTTGTTTAGGGAACATGCACCTGCTATATTTCTAAGATACTCTCAGTTAATCTGAGCTACTTTTACTGAAATACCATAAAAATAAAGTCACACAGGGGCGCCTGGGTGGCTCAGTACATTAAGGATACAACTCTTGGTATCAGCTCAAGTCATGATCCAGTGGTTCTTGAGATCAAGCCCCACATCGGTCTCCATGCTGACAGAGCAGAGCCTGCTTGGGATTCTCTCTCTCTCTTCCTTTCTCTCTGCCTCTCTTTCACACGTGCGCTCTCTCTGTCTCTCTCAAAATAAACATTTAAAAAATAAAGTCACATTCCATGTCCTTCCTCATGACTGTCTTACAAAGATTTTGCTGTTGCAGATGAAACAAGGTGCACTGGCTGATACTCTGCATGCCTTGTGTGTGTCATCACACTGAGGATGGGGACCGCCTGGAGCATTCAGAAGAAGAATCATCACCCCAGAACTGCCTACGTATCTCAGCTTTAAAAATAAATATTTGCCCACTAATATGGCAGGTTTATGAGCTGCATTTAATACTGTAATGAAATAGTCTATCACTGTGTGTGTGTGTGTGTGTGTGTGTGTGTGTGTGTGTGTGTGTATGAGAAAGAGAAGAGTTAAGGTTGCCATGGGAGCCCTTGGCACTTCTGAACCTTTATGATTATGAACAATAATTAGATGTAATGCTTTATGGTGGTGAAGCACCTCATGGGCTCCTCATAACTGTCAAGTGTTTGGCAATTAACTCACCCTCCCTGAGATTCAGGTTGGTGTAATTAACCCCACAAGGAGAAGCAGCCCTAAAGAAGGGGAGTCATGTGGGGAAAGCCAACCTGTTTTGCAGCGGCATAGACAAAGGAGGCCCCACCAGTTCCTGCCCTGCACCACCTCCATCACAAATCTCTGCCAGCCACCCCCTTTTTGGCCCGAGGCACTTTGCTCAGACAGCTGGGTTGGGTTTACGGGAAAGCTTGCCCGCACTGTGGAGAGGCGGGTAGGCCCAAATCCCAGGTGTCAAGCCCTCAGCGTTCCGTCTCACCGGGCGTGGATACACAGCCCTGTGCAGCTGTAGCAAGAGGAATTCAGAATGCCACCTGGGGAAAGGGAAGTTAGAGGAACACTGCTCAACTGTAATCAGCTCAACCTTCACGAAATCAATACTTCTGTCCTCTTCCCCAAGCGACTGCAGCGTGGAGTTGATCCTTAGCCTGCCAACTTCTCTACTTATTGTCCCATGACACAAACATGCTCTTAAGGATGTATAGAAAGCTGAGGGTGGATATTTTTAACACAAAGTGTCATTGACGTTTTATACACACACATTTTATACACACATACATATATATGTATTATGCAGGGGTCTCCTCTATGTATTAGAGAGAGAGAGACATATATTGGCCCATATATTATAGAGACACGTGTCACAATATTTTATATGTATTCTATAAACACAGACAATTATAGTACAAATGTATATATCTCAAGTAAATCCATGAAATAAGGGAGTCATGTGCTTTGGCCCTGTCATGTTGATCAAAAACTGAATCTGCAGCTTCTCCAAAGGAAAACAAAATATAACTCTTGAAAATTTCAGCCAACACCCCTTTTTGTTTCAATTTGAATTTCCATGGACTACTTCAAGCATTTCGTGTTTGTGGTGGAAGGCAAATGCACTGTGGATTGCTGACAGATCCCAGTGTGGGAACGTGTTGGATTGATGCCACTGACAAACTTTACCCCACTTCTCATGCCCCTGCCCAAAGTGCCTGCGTCGCTCTGAGGGGGGCCAGGAATGGATCACAGCATCAACTCAAGACTTGAGGGTGACAGATACGTAAGGCTAGCAAAGAGGACCATCTTTGCTGGTGCTCTGCTGAGTGGGAAGGTGTGTGTGTTTTCCCTTGATGTGGTGGTCTCGTTAATACCTGCCCCCAGCAAGATTAGTACCTGATCCCATTAGTGCCGTGCTGGTCTCTGAGCCAGAGACAGAGGAAACAGACTAGGTAAGCTGTGTCTTTTGCTTCACTCCAAGGGAGAATCTGTACAGCACAAGGCCTCTAGCACATTTTGAAAGAATGTTTTGTACCAGAAAAACTAATTTGCTATGATTAGTTCCATTACATTTGTGAGATTGTCACTCTATGTTTATTTGGAAGGTAGGTTAGAGTCCCTTTTGGTGATTTTAATCTGGATGCCGAAGGAATGACTCTTCCAAATTTCTAACAAAAAATAAATCCAAATGCAACTATGAATAATACCTCCTGGGTCCTAGGAAGTAGAAATGCTCATGTGCCATGAAAAGAAGAGAGTCCTGAGTCATTCGCAAGTCATCCTGGCAGGAATCCAGAAAGTGGAGGAGGGAACTGGAGGACCACAGAGAAAGCAGGAAGGGGAATGAAGTCTGGAAGAAAGGCTAAGTGGGGTCATTGGCTTTCCACTTAACATGCGTCTGTGCTGTCTCAAACTCTTATTTCCTTTTGTTGGTGACAAGAAATGTTGGTTATTTGTGGTCCCACCACTTATGAGCTACTCAGGGTCAGGGTGGAGGATAATGTTTGCTGAGCTGGTGTTGAGAGAGAAGACCCAAGCTGAAGGAACAGGGCATGAGCCAAGTGCCCAAACCAGACAGAAGAAACAGAAAAGTTGCCCAGGAAGTTCTCAAAGCAGCAGAAAGGACTTAGGGGAAAATTCATGGCTTTGTGCAAAAGGAATGGAGAAGGAGGGAGATCCCATGGCCAAACACAGAGAAGTAAGACTTGGGAATAGCAAAACTTTAATGGAGGTTTCTTGCCCTCTCTCCTTCCCTCCATTCCCCTTCTTTCCTCCTCTCTGTCTCTTGTATGAAATTCTGTGTGCTCATACAACACAGACCCTCTCTAGCCGACTAAAAACCATTGGTTAAGTCTACATTTCCCACTAACCCCTTGTGGAATTAGTTTCCTTTTTGAGAAATGCAAGAAAATGCTCAATCTTGCTTTGGAGCGGCATGAGTGAAAGATAGCGACCAGCCACATGTTTGAGTCTGACGGTCATAAAAGGTGGTTGGTGCTCATTGATGGGAGTATGGAAAGAACACTACACTCCTTTATACCACTCAGCTGTCCTGGCCTCTGTCCTGCACATTCTGCAAACCCCCCCACCCAGCTCTCCACCTCCCCTCCCCCAAAGGAAGGCCACCCACATGGTCATTCTCAGGGGCTGGTGCTCAGGAATGGGAGGAACCACCAGGCCCAGCATGCCAGCCCAGGCCACTAAGGAGCCCGAGGTGGTCAGTCCTGTCTGGCCCTTGCTCATCCGCACAGTCTCCTCTGCTTCAGAGAAGGCCAGTGAGGCCTGACCCTTCCAATTTCACACCAACTCCTTAGGCCCAGGCTCAGGTGGGAGCAGGAAGTAGGAAAGCTATTGTAAGTGGAAGCAACAGTCGCGTGGGCCAGCTGGGAACCCGGAACAGAAGACAAAGCGCTCTGAAGCTCCCTCCCAGGGTGTGCAGGGCAGGTGTCAAGGGAGGCGGCACCTCCTGCATAGTCTTCACACGTCTTTGCAAGACTCGAGACCTTGCACATCTACTCATGGTGCTGATCAAAAGAGCTTTTTTGAGAGATTAGAAAAAAGAAGAGCCAAGCGTTCGCGCATGCAGTCTTTCTAATTAACACTGCAGGCCCAGAGCGGGAGAGAGAAGGCACACCAGAGTTTTTTTGAAGCAGCTGTTCTCTCAACAGCAGGCTCTTCTCCAGGAAGCTGTGGGCTAATGCTCTCTGATTCTGTGAATTCAGACAGGGGCCTCTGACCACTTCAGATGGAGGGCCGGCTGCCATCTGGGGCAAGGTCATCGTTCCCGCCGCCAGCCACATCGTCAGCTGGAATCACATCACCTGGAGTTCACATGGGCCAAGTGTAACACAAAGCCTGTAATGATCGTTTACTGTGTGCCCTGTGCTAAATGCATTTCTTACATTCTCTCATTGCATCCTCCCAACCAGTCAATGTAGTCCTTGACTTCCCTTACCAATGAGGAAATGTTACTGCCAAGGTCACACAGACAGGACGTGGTAGAGACAGAGTTCAAACACAGGTGTGTCCGAATCAAAGCTCATCCAACAATGGTCTCCACCAGTGTGCTAGATGCCCCCTCCTAGCTTCCTCTTCTTTGGATCTTGGATTATTTCCAGTGCCTGGCATACATGAGATTGGATGTAAGCATGATAATTATGAAAATGACAAGTTTTTATTGGCCTTTCTCCATGAAGCCGTCCCTCACCCCAGGTCCCTCCTGTTTGCTCACAGCACACCAACAACTGACCCCGATATGTCTGACACTGCATTTATTTGCAACTATTTATTGAATCTGCCTTTCCTGTAACACTGCACAGGCAACTTGGAGTGGGGAGAGGATTCCTAGCACAATGTCTGATACATGGTTGACCTTTATAGAATGAGTGAATGACCTAAAATATTTCCTGAGTAAATGATATAGCAAAATAACAATGAAGCAGCTTTATGGAATGGAAAGAGCACCAGATGCAGAACCACAAAACCTCCGTTCAAGTCTGGCTCCCTTACTCATCAGCTATGTGCCTTGCACACATCACTTAGCTCTTCTTGGCTTCTGTTGCCTTATCTACCAATCAGGGCAATTGGATTTGACCTCCTCAGGATCATATCCAATACTGACAGTATATGAGTTCAGAGTGAGCAGAGTCCATAGGACTCCTTCATGAACCAACCTGCTCAGGTAAGATGCTTCATGCTCAGCATGAAAAATTGCCCTTCCTCAGACCCACAGTTCAAGGACTTATTTCCTGAGCTGGGTAGCCCCACAGCTCTGTGCCACTGCCACCACCACCACCCCACCCCCCAGTCCCCTAGCTGCTTCTCTGCCCAGATTCCAACATGCCTACCACATCCCTCTGGCTTGATCCTTACTTTAGGCTCTTTCTAATTCAACTTCCTCCTTAACTACTCACCCATCTCTTCCTGGTCCTCCATACAGACCTGGTCCTCAAGGTTAACACTCTTCCAACTGGTCCACCCTGTGTGCAGGACCCACTCAGAAGTTCCCATGCCTCTTTTTAGAATGTCAGTCCCCATCTTAAAATGATTCCCTAGACCTGTAGCATATAGGAGAAATTCATGAAGGGTTAACATTTGACTTTCCACTGTGAGGTACTGTTAATGTATTTGAGCAAACAGATTGGAGGACATGTCGCAATACTCGTGTAACTAATTAACACCATTCCCACATGCACACTATTAATTGGGCACTTCCAATTCTTGAATCCACTCCTTCCATCAAGTGGACTTGACAAGAGAGTGTGAGGGCAGTCTGGGAATTAGATCAGAGGGCCACGCCGTCACTGCCCAGCACACACAGACAGGCAGCTGGAAAGGCAGGTATGGAGGGCTTCAGACAGAGAAATGCCCTTTCTGTTTCACATTGCTTGTGAATCTCCCTAGGCCAGAAACAGATGATGGCAGGGATACCAGCTGAGCCAGCAATAATATGGGAA